TGAAGTAACTTGTATAGTTTTTATTTTTCTCTGAGTAACTTGTGCAATGTGAAAAATTATATTAATGTAGGACTTTAAATGGGACATTTTAGATGTAGCTCTAGCACATTAGCTCATGACCATCTTGGGTATGTATTGTGAAAACGTGTTATGACAACCAATGAGAGAAATGTGACTGTGTATTTAAATCTTGAGTCTTGGAGAGCACTCTCTCCCCTTGACTCACCCTTATTTCTTTGACTTTGAAGTTCTTTTCTTTCGTCTTTTCAAGGTTTCACAAGAAGCATTGTAGCTGTGTATAGTACCTGTATGCTAGTAGTTCTTTTGCGAGTCCAGTTAAATATTATAGGTGGTTACATCTACCTGGATAATGCTGCACTCTGCAAAAATGGCACGGTACGTTTCTTGTTTTGCTTCAAGGGTAGAACTTCCACTTCCTTGGAAATAAAAGGATTATTTGGTGAGAGATAAAAAGGGCATAGTTTAGGAGTATTAGAATGAAACCAGGAGTTCTTACAAGAGTGGGAAATGTAGAAGCAGTAGTAGAAGTAAGATGCATTGATGTCTTTTTGGTAGCCTCAGTTTGGATGATTTGGTGATAATGTTGCTTTACCAAATACTAGCAATATTGAAGAATACCTTTGGTCTGCATTTGTCTTGCTTAAAGAAGGTGACTTAATATCTAAATGCCAATGTGAACTCATTTCTTTGCTTTCATTTTTTGTGGAACAGTAATACTGTGTCAATGATCCAAGATATGTATGCAAATTTATATATATAAATGCTTAAGTCTCCCTAGCATGTACATTAATTCCTCTAGTTAAATTTTTCTAGGATTAAAGAAGAAAAATGTTGTCTTTTAAATTTTGAGTATTTGGTTTAACTCCAGAAGACCGTCTACTAAAATGTGTGTTGGTGGAGCCAAGCAAGGTAGAAGACTTGGGATTTGTTTATATAGTATATCTATCACTGCTCAATAAAGATAGATCCCATAGTAAGCAAGTGCCCAACATAGAGAGTGAGATCTGGACAGCTCATCTAAAAATAGTGGATAGAAACTTTGATTAGTTTCGTATGCCCTCTGTGATGGCTCCTGCTGAGAGTCACGGAACAGCATGCCAAGGCAGGTCTGAGAAGAGCTTTCATCAGGGAGACCAGGGTTGACTGAGGTCTTGCTTCACTTTGTAAAACCTGAAAAAGCTTTTTTAGAAAGGCAAGATGAGTTTGGACTGGAAACCTGTTTCCTTTCTGTTATTTTTTTCAATAGAACAGTAGGTTGACAGGGCCAGCTCTGAGGCACTCCACTGGAGCAAATTGGGATCCTGTCTTGGTTCCTGAAAACTTCTTCTCTGTCAAATAAGCTTTTGTTAAGTTTCAGCATAAATAACTTACTCCATTAGGTTTTATTCTTGGGGTGGTGGATGGTCTAGTTTCACCTGCAATGCAGGTTTTTAAGAGGTTTTTCTGTATATGAATGAAAAGTGAAAGATTTTTCTGTGCCACTGAAGATAGAAGAGAGATCTGTATAGAAGAAAAGAATACTAGAGGACTTAGGAAAGATGCAGGGATTCATGGCAGGAAGAGTCAGAAACTACAGAGTTGCATGAGAATGGGAAAATCCATCTGCTATAGGGTATGATAAAGATTAAGAAAATTGGTTGCAACCTGTTTGAAATTATTTTTTCATTGCCTCTGCTGTTGACATGTTACAGAACTGTTGGTTTTTTTCCCCCACAGACACCACTCGCTCCCCCTGAAGTCCAGCAGCAATATTTATCAAGCATTCAGCACCTTTTAGGAGATGGTATGGTGCTTATTTTGAGCTAACTGCACTTACAAAGTTCTCCATTTTCCAGACTTGAACAAATCATTAGAATAATTTTGATGCTTTCCTCCTTTTAGGACTGACTGAGTTAATAACCATTGTTAAACAAGCTGTGCATAAAGTTTTTGGAAGGTAAGAGCCTGTGTTTCTCTGTGGCTAGCTTTAAGTTGTATTGTGATGACTTCTCCCAAAACAGTGAGTTTTATTAAAATGTAAAAAGAAAGGGATTGACTTTTCCAAACCAGTGTTTTTATTATAGCAGGCTATGTCTGTCAGTCAAAACCTGTGTTGTAGATTGGGATCTTGTTACTTGTGTCTTGCTGGTAGGAATAGAATGCATTGTTATTCATTTTGCAATCAACAGTGTGGTCTTTTTCCTTTCCAGTATTTCCCTTAAACACACCCTGTCTCTTCTGGACCTGGAACAGAAACTAAAAGATATCAGGGAAGTAGTGGAACATAAAGATTCAGATCAGATTGCCTCTTACTCTCCCTTATGTCATTATCTGATGCCAGATGAAGAACACCCCTTGGCTAGCCAGGTACTTGTTTCAGTTTCTTTCATCTACCTGTTTTCATTCTGCATGTTTGTTTGTTTTTCAGGGAGGGAAGGGTGCATGACAGTCAGAGGACCATGGCACATGTATCTTTGATAAATGGTGAAGCCTCTTCCATCATAAATAAAGTGTCCTTAGCTCTCTAACTTAGGCAAAGTTGTATTTTCTTCAGATTTGATTGAAAAAAGGTGTCATCCTCAGAATTTCAGCTTTGTGCTCAGAAACACAGCCCAGTTACTGCTTGTAGCCCCTGACAGAAGCTGTGACAGTGCAGCTTAACTCAGCTCTGAGCTAAATTGTATCACTTGCACTTGTGTCCCAGCAAAGTTCACCGACTGTTGTAGTGTCTTGGCTGATGCACAAGATGATGGTTTGCTGGAGTCCTTTGTTGCTTTGGGCTGGAAAATGAACAGGATTCAAGAGAAAGGTGTATCTAATCTCAGTTGTAACATTAATTTCCTAAGTTTTGTGAAGGTGTTTGTCTCCATCCACACCACAGGTTGGAGAAAACACATTCTGTGCTTGGTATTACACAGTGTAAAGACGAAACTTGGGCTTCAGCCTGTGGCTCCGTGCACTTATGGCTTTAACTTAAGCTGATACATTGGGTTTATTTCAGTTTTGAAGGTCAGAAGTGGAAAAACACCTTGCTCAGTTTCTTTGGTATTTCCTGCTAGTATTGTTTTCAGTTAAAAAAAACCCACAGTGACCACTTAAAACAAATTATAAAGAAACTGATTTAAACAATATTCTCTTTAGATCTGATTTGTATATCTTGACTTAATTCCATGATAGAAAACTTCTCTATGTCTACTCTTACTCTTAGAGTTAATGATGGAACTTAATAAACAGTGTCTGCCTTTGCTTTTCTAGGCCTATGGACTCACAGAAAGAGACATTGCTACAATTAAATTGCTGAATGAAACTAGAGATATGCTGGAGAGGTATGGAGAAATATCCTGTATTCACACTAAAGTCTTCCTCACAACTCTTGTTTATGTAAGATGATTACTTTTCTAGAAAAGCTGACAACTTTCTGTTTCTGAAATGTGACTGCTCTGTACTAAATGTTTATATTCACTAATTGTAGGCTGGGATTTTCCAAATTTGGGAGCTCTGAAACTTATAAATAATAATCCTGCCTTAGTGAGATATCAGGAATGTCCTTCCTAGTCAGACCCTTTATCTCTTCTTCACCCTTTCTGTAGTCAGCAGGACCAGAGGAGTACTTCTCTTCTGCTAAAGCAGGGTAAATTGAGAGTAATGTTGTTGGATTTACCTGCTTTGATAAAGCAAACACTGGTATTGGCTCATTGGAGTTTATTTTTAGTGCATGGGTTTGAGAGTGGTCATCTGGGTCCTTTTACCAGAGAGCTACCCAGGTGAGACTTCTGTAATAAACACAGGATATGAGGGAATTGAGCCAAATGTCAAACCATTCTTACCATTTAGCTGCTAGAGATCGGGAGCATTTTAAGATAAATCTGTTCTATGTTAGTACTTAGTAAGAAATAGAAGTGAGGAATGTTTTCTATTTGTCTGGGGTTTAGTAATCTTAGGGTAGAGCTGAGGTTGTTGAGGGAGCTGATCTTCGCTGAGGTGGCTGTGCACTTGTCTGGGTCATAGATCTTCCTGGAGGGGAGGCACATCTGTAGCACTGAGTACTTGCAGGGTTTTTAGTTTGAAAAAACAAACCCCAGGAATCAAACTGGTCTTTCTTCCTTCAGTCCAGACTTCAGTACAGTTTTGAGCACTTGTTTAAATAGAGGATTCAGTCGACTGCTGGACAATATGGCAGAGTTTTTCAGACCTACCGAAAAGGACCTCTCTCAGAATGGCTCTGTAAATAGGTAAAGGTTTTCTTTGTTGTGGTTCTCATGTCAATAATGCTTTCAGTCCATGGTGAATTATGAAAAAGGTATTGATTTTCCTGCCTTCTTGAAGTTCTTATGCTGGAAATATTACTCTGCTACTTGCTTTTCAAGAATCACTGCACTGTCCTCACTTTGGTCAGCTAGACAGCTAGGACTATTGCATGTTTGTTCCCACCCATGAAATTGCTAGAATATAGGTCAGCTATCTTTCCCACTGTTACTTGCAGATCTAGAACTAGAAATCAGGTGACCTCTACCTTCCACTTTTTGCCTGAACACTGTGCAGACATTGCCTTAAGGGCTAGGGAGGGTTTACCCCACTGGTGGTGACTGCTGAAAGATGTGCTGCAGTAGCTCCCTGTGAGGAGCCTTCCCTCGGCTGGGCAACCAGCGCTCTGCGCCCCAGGCACCCTCTGACTGTGGTTCTCGAGCACAGTGGGTGGCACTGCCAGGATCCTCCAAATAGGGAGCCAGAGCACACACTGAGCTCTAGGATCTTCACTGTTGTGCTGAGAAAACATGGTAACATTCAGGGTTTTCTACATCTTTCTAGAAGACTGTGTAAAAACAGCTTTTATCTTGAAGTTAACTTTGGTTTTAAACAGTGCAGTGAGTGTTACAAACCCAGAAGCTGAGTTCAAAACCTTGAAATATTATTTCTTAACTATTGAAATTTAAAGCCTTGAATAATGTGGGCTTGTGTATGTTTATTTAGTAACTAATTACATTCAGAGTGTCATGTTTTTATTTTAAAAATATCACTTAAAATTTCTCAAAGGCTGTAGTTTGCCTGTCTGTCCTAAGCCTAGTTCAGTTTGAAAGTGTGAGATTATAGAGTGGCAGTTCTATCACCTGTCTACATACAAACATGTAAAGACTCTGGCTAAACTCTAATTCTCTTGCATGAGAATCAAGTGTGAAACTGTGTGTAATAAGAACACCAACTGAAATTTGCTTCTAGTGCTTCTCTGTATCAAATGAAAGGCTTTGACAGGGGGAAACCCCTTCATCTGTACATTTTAGTTTGCAGACTTCCAATACTTACTTTTTAAGCAGTAACTTAGAATTCCAGTAATCACAGTTTAGTTGCTTTATCAATCTCAGAGCAGGTCTAGGTCAATATTTTTTGTTCTGTTCTAGTCTTTCCAGTGTCAGTCTTCCTTTAGCCAAGATAATTCCAATAATAAATGGACAGATCCATTCAGTATGCAGTGAAACACCCAGTCACTTCGTTCAGGTAAGAATCTTCTTTATTTACATCCCAATTAAATTTTTTTCAAATTAACATTGCATATTGCTTTTTAATAACTTCATTCTGTTTAATTTCAGTGGCTTTAAAAAATTTGGATATAATTGGTATAGTAAACTTGTATTGTCCAAAAATAAGAGTGTTTTTCTAGAACCTCTTTCCTCTGCTGAACTGTGCAGAAGCACAGAAAGGGACCTTGACTTGGTTCTACTTGCAGTTCTGCTCCTAAACCTTTCCAAAGCAAGAAAATTGAGTTGCATCTCTGTGGGAGTGCCAGGGGCTTTTCTCATGATGAATTCTGTACTGCAGCAAAACCAGAATACTGGTGGATGCATTCAGTGAAGCAAATTTAGTTTTTTATGTTTCTTCCAGGATCTGTTGATGATGGAACAAGTGAAAGACTTTGCTGCTAATGTTTACGAAGCTTTCAGTACCCCTCAGCAACTAGAGAAATGACCTGCACATGTTTAGGAATAGGTGGTGTATTTATAACGAATCCCTTGTGACTACTGATGGCTTGGGTTAATTCTGTAATGGTGTAGGAGTGGCAGACCAGCAGGAAGAACACTCTGAGGAAAGTGGGAGTGAGTCCATATTTCTTCAAATAGAATTATATTTCAAACACCCATTAAAAATATTGTTGAAAGAATCATTGTATGTAAAGACTTTTCTATTTAAAAAGTGGCTGAACTCTCCTGTAATTCATTTGACCTTTTTTATTGCATCTACAAGGCACCTGGTGGCAGTACTACAACAAGCTACTGAGAAACCCATTTGTTTGCCTGGGGTGTTTGGAAGAATTTTGGGAAGAGCTAATGAGAGTGATCTTAGAATAGCACAGAGTAGCAGAATGAATTAAGGCTTTTTTTCTTCTTCTCCCCCTAAATTTTTCTTTATAAAAAGGAAATTTTTTTCCTTAGCTTTATCCATGTTGTTCCAAAGAGCCTCTTGATCTTCAGAAAGCCTTTGCCAACAGAGGCATCTTCCTCTTGAACCAGCTGGGGGTGTGCTCTCTGTTACTTAATACTAAAGGAATGTGGTTTTTTAGCTGTTCTCATGTTTATGCTGTTCAAACAGCTACACTGTACACATTGCCCTGTAAATATTTTATCTTGATTTGTATTAATTTTGAGCCTGATTGTCTGTATTGTAATAAAATATTTTAATGTAAAATTCATGTGTGCATTAACATTACTGGCAGGAAAGGGAATTACCTAGTTTGGCCCATCGCTCAAACTTAAGACACAACTGAAAGAATAAATTTAAGTTATATGGTAACAAATTTGCACTTATTAACATTACTCAGGAGAAATAAACCTTCGATCTCTACACTGAAACAGAAACAATTTGTGCTTTTTATTGTCCTTTATCTTCCCCTTTGCAAACTTCACATTTTGTGTCTGTCCCTACAACTTTTGGCACATGAGTTTGGAAATTTTTCAAGCTGGGTGCAATCTACCCTCTGCTTAAAATGCTGTCTCTCTAAGAGTAGGAACATGCAAAATTAATGACTTCCAGGATGAGAAATGATGATGTACATATGCATTGCCTCCATGCACCTGTGATGAATTCCTAAGCCTTACAGGCCTGTTCCTGCAGCTGTTACCCTGTTCAGCTGAAACTCCCAGCTGCCACTTGTTGCACACACCTGGAAAAGTTTATTCTTTTCTCTAAAACTGTCAGTTTTAACTGTGCAGTTTTGTGGAACTGAGATTTCTTACATTACAGAGGGTGTACAACTGACCTATGTGCATAGTGGCCTGAGGTTTCCTCTTTCTCACAACTACAAATCTCTAGTGCCTGCTCTTCATGTAATTTGACCAGAAACTGACTAAAATGAGTGGAGGGGTATATACCTGCTTATTTTTTTCACACAAGTTCAAAGAAACAAATTGAATGCAGAGGATTAACTATCTAGTGCTAGGCATCAAGCAAGGTTTGTTCCATTCTACCCTTCAATAACAGCCCACCTTTCATCAAAAGAGTAGATTTATTAGTGTTTATCAGTCAAGCAAGTAAGTTCAAAACCAGTGATGAGAAATGGTGAAACATGAGCATTCCCTGCTAGCCAGGGCTCCAGCAGAGTAGGGCTCAGTTTATGTCAGTCAGCTGTAAAGTCCAGCCCCACTGACAGGGCAGTTGCTTAGGAGTTAATGGAGGTAGAGCTACAAGGATTCCCTTCTCTCCGAGTGCAACCCATTTCAGCAGTTCCTTGTAGCCAGCCAGCTGCACCTGAGATGGAAACACACACTGTAATTAGAACAGTGCCTTTTCAAAGTGCATATAATTGCAATATTGACAAAATAAGTGTTGATCCATAGCTACCTTACTAACCAGTTATCCTTAAATGCCACTTAACAGCCAAGTGATGATCATTGACTGCAGTAGGAAAATACTTGCAAAGTAGATATGCAAATAATAAAGGTAGTCATGTTGGGTCTTGGCACATACTTAGGGCCGTAGAAAGCGAACAAACACCTTTCAGAAGTATTTGGGACAGTATTTAGGTCTAAACAGGGATCTAGGTGCCACAGTACAGAGCTTTGTATCATCTGTCTCTCAAATACCCACTTTTGTGGTGGGACTAGGAGCCATGAATGAGTTAACCTGAATAACCCCTTACACTAAAAACACACAGGTTTATAGCAATTCACATCTATAAACCAACACAGACTAAAAAAATTAGCAATAATATGTGTGACAATAGAGCTCCCACCTTGTAGAGCGAGTTTTTAAAAACATTATTTTCAGCAGACATTATCTACACGATGCCATTGGAAACGTGGCATACGCTTATAACATTCCTTCCTTCACTTACTTACAATTTTGTATTGCTCTTGAAACTGGTTTTGCTGAACAGTCAACAGTTCAGCATCTCCAGGCTCAAAAACAGGCCAGCTGGTGGCATGCTGGAGCAGCTGAAGACCAGTCTCTACCACTGAGCACCAGTACTCTGTTGTGCACACAGAGCCTAACTGCCTCTCCAAAATTCAAGATGCATCTGCATCACTTCTGAAATGACTCTGCCTTATCACAGAGCTGTTCTGGCACCAATCAGACTACTTTCATATGGAACTAGACCAGATGCAGCAGTCCAGAAACACCCTTAATGCACTTCAGCACCTAATGGACCAGTGCATGAGACCAGAACAGAGCTGAGTCAAAGCAAATCTCCCCCACATAAATGCACAGAGCTGACAGGGAGTTCTGCTTCATTGGATTACACTACTTGCTAGTGTAGGTTTGGCATCAGTGTCCTCAACTTCTGACTTCCACTTGCTGTAAGGATGCACATCGAGGGTTGCAAAGACTTAGAGTTTAGCCTCCCTGGGGAACAAAAACCTCTGCATGTGTTCCCTTTGGGCAAGGCTTTGACTTGAGACAACTGCACCACTGCAGCAACTCCCATATCACCAAAGCCATGAGGATGCTATTTATAAAGGAAAGTCATGCTGAGTTAGAGTCTACTCAGGAAACAGGAGGGGCAGCACAGTTTTTTCCCCTGCTACTTGGCCTCTTTTTACGATTCTTAGTCTGCAAGCTAGAACTTTCCCCAGCAACACCTCAGTCTAACTTTGTTTACTGGAGAAGAAACATCCCACTGGGAGGACTATGACAAGGAGGTCCCAGAAAAAAAAACATTTTGCTGGGTTTCTTCCAGCATACTCTGTCCTAAGAGCTATGCATTCCCAAATATGTCAGGAACCTAAACACGATGGAACATGACAAATCCTGGAGAGGAGAGTGTGTGTTTCTGTTTGTGTGTATTTGTGTATGTATATGTGTTTGTATGTTTGTGGCTCTCTGTGTGTGTGCCTGTGTGTTTGCTGTCTTTTACCTGTGTTTCTCCAAGCTTAGCCTGTGGCTCACCAAGTTCCAGAGTCCCAGAGACTGGCCAGTTCAGGAAGATAGCATTGACTTTCCCTTCTTTAGGGCTGAAAGTATACCTGGTTGGAAATGAGCAACAGAAATGCATGTCAGTTTTTCCTTGTAAACACATAGAGCGCCTTCCAAGACTGGAAAAATGGATTTCAAAACTCAGCATTAAATTACATTTTCACACCCATAACCATCTTGTTAGATGATCTATACCCTTTGTGAAAGTTTGTTGCAACAAACCAGAGGAAATGGAGACTATTAAATAACTGAATTCAGAGGTAAACATCTGTAGTAACTCCAGCACACATGAAACAACTCAATGCTGCTCAGCCATATAGGAAGGAGGTACTTGCAGGACAGGGGGAACCATTAACAGATAATTGTGGGTTATGTTCAGGAAAACATGGCAATTCACATCTATCAACAAACACAGACTAAAAAAATTAACGAGTATGTGTGACAATAGAGCTTCCACCTTGCAGAGCTAGTTTTTGAAAACATTATTTTCAGCAGACATAATCTACACAATGCCATTGGAAATGTTGTGGCATACGCTTCTTCCTTCCTTCATTTACTTACAATTTTGTATTGCTCTTGAAACTGGTTTTGCTAAACAGTCAACAGTTCAGCATCTCCAGGCTAAACCCAGATGGCCAAATCTTACTGGGAACAGGAGTAAAAATGCCCACTGAGACAGAGAAGAGGGTCAAGCCCAAAACCCTGATGAATCATTAAGGCATTACAGCAGCTACAAGTCACACAGGCAAAGGGGAGTTCAGAGACTGGCTGTGATCAGTGACCAAACAATTGCTGTTATCTTCCCATGCATTTTTACCTGAAGAAGAAATGCAGAATATGCTAGACTGGTTTCTAGTTTCTTCCTCTCTAAACATCAAGTACTCCTTTGTACACATAAACACTTCATAGCAATTTTATATTTCCAGATTTGTATATTTTTTTTTTTTAGTTTCTGTTGCAAACTACACTAAAAGCACAAGATCGGTAATGAAAATGCTTGCAACCTTCAGCCTCAGCATCTTCTCAAAACTACAGTCTCTACCTATTGTTTTAGACATGTGCAGTTACCTAAACTGACAGAGGGGTTAATTTCACCACACCACAGGTTGGAGAAAACGCTTTCTTCGCTTGGTATGGCACCAAGATGGTGATTTCTGTAGCATCAATTCTCATTTCAAAGCTTCACATATATTGGTGCTGCTTTACACAGCCTATTTTTTTCCTTACCACACTTGTGGTGTGAGTGAGTCGTTCTGTGCTCTCCATGGTTTTGTTCCATAGATGGCTTCTCCGTTGACCTGCAGCCAGGCACCCATCTGCCTCAGGCGCTCCTCAAATATAACGGCGATGCGACCATCGTGAGTGGGCCCGATATTCATCAACAGGTTCCCTCCACAAGACACTGTTTCTACAAGTTCCTGAAATGTTTTTAAAAGCACAGAGCATATGGTTACGACTAATGAAATGACACATTTGAAGTAGTTTCTAAAGTCTGCCCTACTGCTTCAGAACAATGAACGGAATGAGCTGTGTCACTGCTGCACACTGAGACTTCAGGAGTCATCCCAACCGTCACTACAAAACTTAAGTTCCCATAAAACAAAGCTTTCTTGTCAACTTTTATATCAGAAACCAGCCCAAAATACATTGTTGCACCAGCATGTCTGACTGAATTCACATTAGAATCAGATCCTACAACTTTTTAACATTTTGACTTCTGCAACAATGTCATGAGGGTTTTACTGATAGAACAGACACATGATTTCTCTGCACCATACTACAATAAGGCTAATAGTTGCCACTTCATCTTTATGGAAACTTAGAAGCAACTTCTTCCTTCTTCCTCTGTTTGATGCTCTCAGTATCTTACAGAGACATCTGTAAAACACAAAGTAGCCTTCCAGAGAGTGTATAAAATGTGTGTTCACATCCACACTGCCCTCCAAAGATCATGGACTGAGATGCACAAGTCTGAGGAACAGACAGCTGCAGATAAGCTACTGAATGAATTCAAACTTGCTGCCTCTGGAAAGGTTATTTTAATTTGAAATTGTCTTTTGCAAGGACAGTACTAGAAACAGATTTGGATTAAACAACAATAACAATCAATCAATCTTCCCCTCACTAGCTGAATTTTGCAATTAAATGCATTTTTCTGAAAGACTGATCAGCCTGCCTTTTGTTCAGTTTTCCTAAGCTTCAAATCTTTTTTAATACCTTAGGCTAGCAAAGGGAATCAATGTTCTACTTACACCAGCTGTCTGCACCTCCTAGTGTTTACCTGTATGTCTCTAAGGAAAGTTTCTCACTACAAGGTAAAACAACTATTGAGTCATAAACTGTTTCTAGCTATAAAGGGGAGAAGATGTAGCCTTCAATCAGGAGTTCCTAAACAGGAACTGTAAAACTGCAACTGTTTGCTTCTGCTCCACTGAGACGTGCAGTTACCAGAAAAACTTAGTAGAAAAGGTAATTATGAGGCTGTCCAGATCAGTCCTTGGCCAGTTACTCACAGGGGAAACAGCTTCTAAGGAACTAACTGAATTTTTACTAGATAATCTCTCTCTTGGTCATTTCTATAAAATTATTAAGGATTACATGGATATTCCATCCTGACAGTGTTAGGGTGCAAATGAATACAATGATTTGTCCATAAGTGAAATGTTATATAGCACTGGGAGAGAGGATGGGAAGTTGCAGACAACTCCTTTGCCCTGCTGTACCTTCACCAAGTCCTCGATGGTGAGGTAATCGTCAAGCTGTGCGTTCCTGCGGTACCCCCACGACTTCTTGTCGATTGTCATACAGTTCTCCCACTTGTGAGGCAGGAGGTGGCCAGGGTTATACCGGTCACTGCAGGTGTAGAAGCCTCCATGAGTACAGATGCTGCCAACTCCCCAGCGGTCATTGGTCACAACTGTGTCCCGGACTGGGCTGGGAACAGAGACATTCCATTACGTGTATTCCACAAAACGCGGTCACAGCCAGCACAATCCCTTCCCACACACACCCCTCCCAGGAACTAACATTCTGGGTGACTTCTGTACTAGTCATTTATTACAATTAGATTAAGTGCAATGTCAGGAATTCTATTCTCATCCTCTGCTAGTAAAAGCTCCAGATTGGCATTTCTTCGGGAAATACGCTCCAGACTTTCACAGGAGGTCTGCCACAAATCAGGCTGCACTCCACATCCACTGCCAGATCTTCAGTCTGCTGTGACAACAACGTACCCATATTCTCAAGCTGTCCTGCTATCCTGTGTTTCTGTGCAGTAGCAAATACTTATGGAAGACCATGATTAGGCAGAATAACCAATACCATCTTAACTGATTAATTTGCAAAAGTGTTTAAAAAATGCAAAGCAGTCTTTTTCTAAAACAAGCTTTGATAGTTCTAGGGGAGATGTGAATTCTCTGTTTCAGGCAAGTTTGTATTTTGTTAAGTCCCTTTAAGCAGAGGTAACAGGTTCCACAAAATAAACAGAAAATGAAACAAACTAGGCACAGAACAGAATTTCAGATAAGGAGCTAAACCAGCATCGTTATGTACCTGTCATTATACAGCCAAGCCAAGAAACCAGTGCTGTTCCAGTAAGTATCTGGAGCATTTCCATTCCCATCGGACCAAATTATTTCTGGCTGGTATTTGCTCACAAGTTCATAGAGTTCTGGTAGTGATTTACTGGTTGGAAACTTTCTTGTCTTAAAGGCATTGGTGGCATCCTCAAGGAAGAGAGGATTAAACCATTCAAACAGGGAATGATATAACCCAAAATGCAAGTCAGTCCTGTTCCTAACAGACATTGCTAGTTCAGCAACAAGATCTCGCTTTGGTCCCACATCAACAGCATTCCAGTTCCAAGAATACTTGGACCCCCACAAAGTAAATCCTGGAAAGAGAAATGAGAAAGAGAAGCAAAGAAGAGAAGTTATAGTTCCTCTTTCTGGAAAGTGGTTTGGAAGGGTGTTGCAAAAAATAAACACAAAGTAATAAAAATTTTATATATATAGATATATATATATATAGTTATTGTGGTGTAAAGTGTGCCTGTAATCTGTTCCTGCATGATGATGGTAGTCATCGGAATACCAAGTCAGATATGTTTATGTATTTTTTTATACATACACATATGCATTTATATTTTCCAGTTCTGTACCGCTTAGGGTAATTATTCTTTAACTATTCACTCCACTCATATGTCCTGATTAAATTAACTAGACAATCTTTAAGGCTGTTTCAACACAAACCGTTCTGTGATTCTATGAAATTAAACAAAAATATAGCAGCTTTCAAGGCATCTATGTCAAATGAGAACTGTAAATACACAACAACTGGAAGATAAAACTCTCAGTTGCAGCAAGCACAAGCTAATATCATTTGCATTCAAACACTGTTCTCTTCTGTATCCATCTTATGCAAATGTTCATTTTTCATTTGTCTTGGTATCTATAGCAGCTTGGTCAACTACTTGGTACATGTATATAAGCAGAGTGCAAAGGCTCCTGAAACAGTTTATGAAATATCAGCATTAAATATCAGGAGGGATTTGACAATTCAGACATGCAGCAATCCAGCATATGCACTTACAAATACTACTGCACTGCCGACTCAGACCAGTGCCAGGGGAGCTCCACTCTCACCTTCAGACTGCTTTATACTCATTGCCTCATAAATCTTGCCATATTTTTGTGAACTGGATACATGCAATTGTACTGACTAGACAAACAAGCTAAAAATTCATGCCCAAGGCTACAGGACAGACTGAATAAATCATGGTTCTTTGGAAGTCACTGGGAATTTCACCACAGGCATCATCAAGATTTATGTGTCAGAGCAGAGATTAAAATTTACAAGTCAAGAGCTGCCAGTCTTGAACCCACATCTCCCCAAAGACCAACAGCATTCATTAGATGTACTATCACATTGCATCTTAGCATTTTATACTTTCCTTGCTACCAGATTTTCTTCTAGCAGCTTTCTCCTTCTCTGCTTTTCTCTGCAAAGTATCTTACAATCACAGTGCTAAAAATCAATTGTACCTGTAAAGTGGCAGACCTGGTACAAGGTTTTGGCTTCTATGCATTGCATCAGAAAGAGTTATACCATGTGTACCTTCCTAACTCTGAAGTTGACTCCTGGAACGTAGTCCTAAATTCCTGGGGGAAACCTACAGAGCTCATTAACTGCCTGCACACAGCAGCTCTCCATATGTTAAACAGTGCAGAATTCACTTTTATGGTTATTTCAGCAATAAAGTGCACAAAAATAAGAAATTAACTATGGCTACTGCAGGAAGCTCAGCTGCTACTACCACCACTTCAGGCTGACTTACCTACAGCAAGAGACCAGTGTCATAATCTATTGCTCCTCCTATGTCAGCTTCATGGCCACAGCTTTTGTGTAAGACTCAGGAAAGCACATGCCCATTTCTTGGGTGGTTTGTTTCCTCTTTGGCTGTGGTGGGGCAGGTAAGCCTGCCTGGCTTTCTCTATCTCTCTGAGCAAACAGCAAAGTCACCTGTTTTTCCCTCTTCTGTTGACATAAATTAAACAATTACTAACATTCACAAACCTTCCACTTACCTTCATGATGTTTTGAAGTTAGGACAACGTATTTTGCACCTGAAGCCTTTAGAATGTCTGCCCACTGGTTGGGATCAAAGAATTCTGCTGTGAACAGTGGCCCAAAATCATCGTAACTGAAGCCAGGTGGGTAATTTGCCTCCATAAATTTCACATAGGGCTCTCTCTTTTCCTTCTGCCAGTACCACCTACAGAATACAGAACAAAACATGTCTGCTGACATATTTTTAGACAAAGATAATAGAACTGAAATAATCAACTCCTATGAGTTAACACCAAGAGGCAGAGCCATTGCAGGTTCACGACACTGGCAACAAGACAAAATTCTTCCAGAACAGTATTAATTATCAAAGATTTCCATCTCTCTGTCCTATTTGCTCATGCTCTACATCTTTGAATCACTCCCTTTTGAAAAGGTCCCAGGATTTCCTTTGAAGCAATGAAAAAGCAGCTACATTTTGAGAATGACAATCTTGTTTAGTACCCAAATCCCAAAACTACACTGGAGAGCACATGCAGACAGTCCTTGCAAGCAGCTCAGGTGGCATGAGAAATGCTCTTTTCCTGGACTAACATGGCTCACCCTCCTCAAGCCTCACATATTAGCTATCAGGCATCACTGCTCTGCACCCCACACTGCAACTACTGCCACCCACAAACATGTGGGCCAGCAACTTTACTTCTCCTCCCATCTTGAGTCCTCTATGCCAAATGCAGCTGGGTGACCCAATGCCCACGGGCCCAGGGCAGGAGAGAGCTGTGACCAGTGTACTGCAGCCACTGCACATGTGAGGCTTGGAAGCAAAGGTGCCCTACTAGAAGGCAGGTCCTCCAACAACCACCTGCCCCTGCAAGAACCCCACACACTAAAAAATGCACCTCTGTCACAGGCTCTAACATACAGGTAGACATCTACCTACCTACCAGTGCACATGGATTTAGCATCTGGAAGGAAAAATAAGCTGATGATCTCTTTTTGCATCTCACCTCGCAAAGATGGGGACTTCCTGCACAAACAGCCTCATTGCTGGAGGCCTTCTAAGAACAACATATGATGTGACTGCTACTGCTTATAGAGAAAAGAGTCTGCAAGCATTCACCTGACAACCAGCAAAAATCCTGCTGGCAAATTTAGACATACATGCAAACACATTGTAAATGATTGTAAGTGAAGGAATAAAACAGACAAGAATCTGAATGTTTGAAATGTGTTTCCTGTCCTGAGCTAGACTCTGACCTCAGTCCTGCAAGACCACAGTAACTGCATGGATATTGTTGTAACCTTCCCAAACAGACTTCAGCATAAACCAATACAATCTCTAGCAGCCAACAGGGGAAAAAAATAGAAGAAAGAGGTCGAGACAGCTTTGCTCATTGAAAGAACCTGGGGGGAGATAATCCAACAACAAAAAACCAAAACAGACAAACCCTACACCCAAAAAATCCCAATCCAAACAACCTCTGATTTTAAAGTATGCCATTGCATAAATAAACAGGTATAATCCCTGCCTCTCTCCCTTTGTCACACGGTTTGCTAACATGACTTCTACACTGACATGATGAGATTCTAGAAACATCCTTACCAAGGCTGTGCAGCCCTGAGGGAAAGAAGACAGGATGGGTGATAACAGTTTATGGCCTTCCATTTGAAGCTGCTAACACAGGACCTCAGTCAGCTGACTTCACATGCTGCCAGAGGGCCCTGAAGCAGCTCTGCACTTCCACGTGCGTAAGGATAGGAGGCTATAGGAATATAAAAAACAACTTCATCAACTACATTAGAGAGTTCTGGATTCATTTTATAACAGCAACAAAAACCAAATGCTTGATCTTGAATGTGTGTGTCACGCATCAGATCACGGTACTCAGGCCTGAACCAAAACCTATCTCTGTCCCTCACCAAAAGTAATTGATCAGTAAATGGAGTCTACATTAAAAAACTGTGAAAACCTTGAACATGACTCTGAAAAGAACAGGCAAAATATTGTCAGAAAACAGTGCCTGGTTTAGATCTATGTTGGTGTGTTTTGTGACACACAGCTGCTCTAATCTTCATATTCTAAATGAAAATGTGACTCACTTGAGGTCACACAGGAAATACTTGGTAGTGCATGGAAAGAAGACAGCAAAAACAAGCTTAAAGCCAAAAAAAGGATTTATTGAGCCTCCAAACTAAAATTACTTAAAGGATCAGAGCTCTGGGGTCTCTTGAGTGGCCAGCACTCAAACAAAAATAATAAAAAGTAAGAAAACAATCTGCAGCACAAAATGTGCAAAAGAAAACAGCAGTTTGCCAAGCAAGGACAGTGAGTGATGGGCTGCTGTGCTCCCCACAAAGCCACTGTGCTCCAGCGGCTGCACAAGGCTGCTCCAGGGGTTGGGAGATCCTGTGCCTGTTCCCACACGGAGAGCCCTTCACCCCTCCCGTCGTGGTGGTCCTGCACAGGTCTCCTTCTGCCACCCAACCAAGTGCCTCCTGGATCAACGCCGGGCAAAGCACTTCATTCAGCTCTACGAGCGCTCTGCTTGATTTAGTTACATCAACAACTACCATTTCCCAGGTTTGAATCAAAACTTAGCAAGTTTTCCTATGAACAGACAGACGGACAGACAGACCAGAAGCACACCAAACTCTGCTTCCATCTCAA